GTAGAAGCTAAAGAGCTCTTGTGCAATGCTAGTCGGAAGGTACGTCGATTTTTTGGATAGGTAAAGCGCAAAATGTGTACTCCCTTTCAAAAACGAGAAGAGCGTCGGGTGCAGACCATACACCACAAGTGACGACGGCCTCCACAAAATGTAAATGTTTTCTGCCAATGAAATGATTAGCCTGTTGCCTGTTGCAGTTGTATTCTATCAGTTGTCACTAATTACAACTATCATTTACCAAAATCAGCTATCACTATGAACCACTACTAACCAGATTTACTTGGAGGCCGTCGTCACTTGTGGTGTATGGTCTGCACCGACGCTCTTCTCGTTTTCTGAAAGGGAGGGTACGTGCGGCTGGTGTCCGCTGCTATGACGCAAAGAGACGCTAAATCGATAATCACGATCCCTGCTGCTTTTTTCACCTAAGGCCGATGTCAGACTTTGCGAATCGCGCGATTCGCTAGCGTCTGCGGTCGCGTCGCGGCCAGTGAATCACTCAATTGGCTGGTACCGCAACGCGACCGCGGACGCTAGCGAATCGCGCGAATCGCTAGTAGCGAATCGCGCGATTCGCAAAGTCTGACATCGGCCTAATCCCTGTTGGAACGCTCGAATAGACACTATCGATCGATAGACTAAGCCTTATGGGAGCTCCTTCCTCCCACGGTTTACTTCATCGTTAGATTACAGCAGGGGCTCTAGCCCCACGTACATTTCGCACCTACCGTATTTAAAAAAATGGCGTGCCCATCCGACTAACATTGAACCAAGTTCTTCTTCTTAGGCTCTTTCTATAACTAATCGTGCGTCCCATGTAGGCTTATGAAGTTATTTTCAGGTTTTTATCTTGAATAGTTTTCTGGGAACTGATAACTTATTTTATGGCTTCCATATTTTGAAAGATCTCCTCAACGGCCGAGAATGGGAAGTTAGCGGTAACTTCCCTCGCGTGACAATGTGCGATTTCGAGGTGAGCGAGAACCTTCTTTTTATTCTGAATTGGTTTGCTGTACTTGAGCGATTTGTTTAGGTCCGTGTACTGGGCAATGTGCATCATCACACCGTCCAATGTGTATTAATGATCAATATGTTTAACGAAAAAATTTTCTTGTTTTTATGGTATGGCAATTTCGTGTTTTATTCTTGGCCCCTCACGGACATAAATCGAGTTGTTCTAGGTTCTGGTATTTTATGGTGTCAATAGTGTCAGTGACCTCAATGCTACACTGGATTCTCATCTCATTTCTACCTGGCCAGGCAAGTCATTTCAATTTACCTGAACGCCTGGTAATGAAATGGGCTTCATGAGGAGCGTGAGTACAGCATCCAAATAAATACAATCGCTGGCTCCTGGCTTTACTATCACTGATTCCATCTGAGCGAAAGGGCAGTGGGCAAGGTGAAAACCGGTCGAGGAATCGTCAATAGCTCGTCGAGGATTTTCGCCTGTTCAGTCACGCTCTCCCGCGCGACATTCACTCTCGCCACGCGCGAGCCGTCTGTGCTCTCCGCGCGTACATTCACTCTCGACACTATTCTCACACAGTGCAGAGCCATGGTCGAGGAATTCCAACGTTATTCACCCTGGCAAGGGAGCAGGGGGAGTATGTTCTCTCACCGCGCTCGCTACCGCCGTGACGTCACCAGTATGCGCTCGCGTCCGCGCCGCCGAAGTTTGTTTTTTTCATCCCTCTTCGCCCATGCCTCACCCATCTTAAGCTAGCGTATAAAGTGATCCTTTAGGTATACAAATCTGTGACAATAACAGACAATGAGAAAATAGTGAAGAGCATTCCATTAGCAGTTTACCAGCTATGTTTAAAATGTCTTCAGGGAAAAAGCTTATTATCATACGTAATTTTTCAGCACATGAAGTTTATTCGCAAGTATTTGAGAGCCACAGATCTTGCAACCGATCGGCAATCGGTGAAGAAGTTCGTCCATAAATTCCTTGGATTTGATGGGGTAAGTTTTTCTTTTTGAAAATATCATTTAGTCGGTATGCCGCTCACAAGAAGTATATTATGTATGTGTATGAAACAATATTTATACCTGATGTCTAAATTCATCCATACTTTTTTATCCAGGTATTTTGTATGCGAATGATATCAGCTCATGCCGGTGACATTATGGCTACTGAGTTAATTGTTGCTCTCTGGCACAACTTCAACGATAGAGTTCGAAAGGTAAGGTTTCCTAGACACATCGCTTGGGGGTTCATCATAAGTCATGTTGTGACTGTCCATGCTTCGAGCGGGAATCGATAAAAAAAATAGGCGAATAAAATTTGTCCAAAGTGCATGTGATTAATCAAATTATAGGGAAGGATTGAAGGTCAATTTGGCCGTTTGAAGTGGGATGCTTTTCGTCTGATTTTCATGATTAGCAATCTTCCTCCATATCTGGTGCTTAAAGGCAGTGAACACGATAAACTGGTTCTTTACTAGTGAAGTATAGCACCAGTGAAGGCGATAGCCAAGCGACAAAAGAATCGAGTAGTGGCTCTTTCGCGGTGAAACCACGCTTTTGCGACGCAGTTGGGCTCTTAAGCTGAAACCGGCCCGCCCACCTTCGTAACCGAACCGACCCGCGTGTTTGTCGAAGTTTGCAATATAGCTATCACTAGCATTCTATTTTCTTTTTCAAATTGCATTTCGCATCGAACGGCCGTCCTTTTGAGTGAGTCGTTTCCTATGTTATTCTGGGAAACACTTATTCAAACGGCCAGCAGCTGTGCCGTGAACTCGTCCAAGGTCAACAGGCAGTTTTCGGATTTTTGGCGGTTTGCTTAGATTTCTTCCTCAGCAGCTTCATTCGGCACATCTGCTGCGGCCCTGTAATTACGAAAAAAGGAATGAAGTAGCGGTTAACGGATCAATTCGGGCTGATGACAAAATTTTGCATTTCATGTTAGCGCCTGCTAAATGGCGCCAAATGTTGCCGCCGATAAAAATAGGTACTGTTCTTACAATCAGGGTCATCATTAACCTTTCTGAGTTAGGTTTTTGCCCAAACTTGGTATGAAAAATGTGTAATGCTCAAATGGCGTCAAAATGACGACGAATGAGGCTAAAATGGCGCTGTATGCACGGTGTTTTTGCGATCCTCGTAATACGGGGCCCAAGGTACCAACTTTTGGTGGAGGTTGTTTCCGTGCAAGACGCCTTCAAACAGATATGGAAGGTTGATTTGAAATCAGTGTCCGAAGACGCATCTGATGATATACATTTCACTTTTAATGGTCACTTCGACCTACTATCCTTCCCTTGTTAGGTTATACGACTTCATGTAAATATCTCTTTTCTAAGATCCAATTCAACTCTACGGAATCGCTCAATCACTAGTCAATCAATTGCACACGTATGTTAGGTTGAGTTGGTAGCTTGTGATTCCTCTCTTTCCCTTCCGTCTAATCCGAGCGAGGGCGTGATCTCCATTCATTTAAAATCGTTTATTTATAAAGTCAAAATAAGAATCCTCTATTTGCATACTGATAAAGGGATCACTTATTGAGTGCGGAACTCACTGTGAAATCCTTAGTGGCGGTTCCAATCTTAGACATCATTTGGTACTGTTGCACTATTACAACCCATTAGTGGCAAAGTTGGGCAAAAAATTGTTTGGCAACGTAAAAATTGTTCACCAATTTCCTTGGAACTTAAATGTGGAGGTGCTTTAGTGCCCTCGATCACATGTTCAGGAAATATTTTCGGCACCGGCGAAATTGGGCCCTCCAGGGGAACACGAAAGAGGTTTGGGGACGGACGCTAAAGAAGGTGACGACAAAATGATAAAGTGATGGCCGACATCAGAGGCAAACTGTCAGTTCGTACAATCTGGAGTGGGGGGACGTATTGTGAGCTACGGAGGGGGTTTCATTCAGGGTGAAAATCGGTCGAGGATCTTCGACAATTCGTCGGGGATTTTCGTATGTTCAGTCACGCTCTCTCGCGGAGACATTCAAGATCTCGTCACGTGCGGGCCACTCTGTGCTCTCGGCCCTTACATTCACCCACGACACTCCGCACTGTTCACGACGAGTAACCAGAGCCATGTTTGAGGAATTTCTTGACGACGTTATTCACCCTGGTCTCATCTAGGGTTGACCAAGGATACCCGTCATTTTACCCGTCCTTTCAAAAATTCCAAGCGGGGACTTATTTGTGGGACTTGGAGGGGTTGTGTCTGTAGAAGAGGAGGCCGCTTAGTTGGAGGGAGGGATCGGGCGGAATAATTTACATTCACGGTATTTACTGTATCGAAAGTTACAGTACCCTCCCCCGTTCGACGGCTTTTTTCGGAGAGAAAAGATGAAGCAGATTTGGAGTGTATCCGCTGGTCTCAGAATCATATATTGTTCACATAATGGAGTGAAGGTGCAGGGTGATGGGGGTCTTATTTCTGCGTGATCCTCGTTACTTATGGTGGTACAGAGGTCGTCGAGACGACTCTGTGGTGGGGAGGGGGTGGGAGTCGTTAAATTTTCAAATTGGGCATGCGCAACAGCTGACTCCTACTCGAATCCGTTTCCAGAATCGTCGATTTGTAAATCTATTATGAATTCCCATGAAAAGAAATTGGGTCGCCAAAGTGACCCTAAATGGCGTTGGCGTCGGGAAATAAGGTACATTCTTGGTCAGAAACATGGTTAACCTCACAAGGGATGTTCCAGCGATAACATTTTTCCCAGCCCCACATCATCCCCCTTCAGATTGTAATAGTGCAAGAGTTACCCTCGTTGGCGATGGTTGATCACATTCTTGCTAGTGTTAAGTGCGATCACTAGATTGTGAACTGCTTCCCCGTGAATGCCGGCTTTGTGATGAGATTTAATCGTTGTGCCGTTGAAAGGTCTTCAAACAAGTCTCTGCTTATCACTTCCTTATCGCGAAACATTCCTTTCAACGGTGTTCAGTTTACTGTCTTGCCTCAATTACAGCTTTCAGAGTCCTATCGAGATGTTTGAGGGGGGCGTGAGTCAGTCACCAAGTAAGCTTGATGCAAACTTCAAGACATGGTTGCTTGGACAGACGAGGTGAGTCAAAAAAGTCTACTTTGTTGAGTGCCTTCGGGTGATGATGGACATTTAGCGCTGCGTTCAACTGCAAAAGTGCAAGTAGCATTTTTTCGCCAGCGGCACTTGCTTGACCGAGCTAGTATGATCAATACTCGCGTGAGATTACCGCAGATATGCAAAATGCGCTGCAGAAACACTAAATCTAGGGCCGTATTTCTTCTCCTTTCGCTCAATGGTCAAGGCGTTAATCACTCAGTCACAAACACACACAGCTGCATAATAGCTCTGCTTTTGCAACCGCACGCACCTGTAGGCGCACGAGCTATATAAACGGTGCTGAGTAGTATGGCCGTGCGCAAAACCTGAGTTATTTTACAAGCACACACTTTTCTCACAAACACTTTCTCACTTTTTTGGATTATGGATTAATAAAGATTTTCGTCGAAAAAACGCTCATGAAAAATGCTGAGAACTTGCGGGAACGACAGGAGGCCTCACGCGGCGAGAAGGCAGAGACGCAGACGGGTCAACGGACGAGTCGCAGCGCGTGCTGTAGCGATTTAGCGTCAAGTTGAATTCACGAGTCGGGATCGAATTGGTGTAGCATTAGTGGGGAGAAATGCAAAAGCACCATAGAAATACTGGAATTTCCTTGAGAGGCTGGCCGTGGTATGACGGAGAGACACAGCGCTGCGAGGAGAGGGAAAACGCGAGAGAGTACGTCGTACGCGAGAGGGCGCAGACACCACGTATGCCGCGATTGATAAGGATGGCAGCACGGCAGCACACAAGGCAAGGCCTTAGCGCCGTTGCCTCGCACTTTTGAGTCGCGACAGTGTCGCCATTCCTGCGCTTGGAACCCTTCTTTCCCACTCTGAAACATAGTATTGCGATTGGGCCAGCTCTCCGGACCCAACCCCGACTCGTGGATGCAAAAGGGAAGTGCTATATTACGTCCCACATCCAGTACACACTGCGACTCGTCCGCGACCCTTCTGCGTCTCTGCCTTCTCGTCGTGCGACGTGCCTCCTCTCGGGTACGCGAGATCGTCAAACCTTGGTTTCGACATAAGTCAAACGTGAGAGACTTCCAAGCTGAAATTCAATCTTCAATAGATTGTGACTGGGGAGCTCCACCTGGAAAATCACAACACATTTCACTCGATCGCAAAAGTCTTTAATAGACTTCCGACTTATTTTGGAACTTCCTGCTTCGTCCCTATGTAATGCACCGCAATCAGTTCACTCCTGAATCCGCCCATGAATTGATGAGTTTACGTCGGCAAATTCAGAAGAGGAGTTCTCTTAGTTTTCACTTTGTTTTCTATCAATCCGTATATGCAAATGTCAAGTGGAATAAGGATCATCCGGCCATTGAGGCTTTCGTATGTTGAAAGAAGGGCAGATTACGCTCAACGTACACCATTGTTGAATTATCACCATGAGCAGAAGCTCAAATTTTTGGAAGAATCACCTGTATCACCTGTCGTCCCGTTGATCATCGATTTGCTCGAGCGGGCGCCAGCAACGTCTCCATTCGTCCCTGTCGCGTGCTAGAGTTGTCCAGTGGATCCTCCTCGCTCGAGGGACACGAAGTCCTTCATTCCTTTCGTTCAGAGCTTTCGTGAAGAAGTCTGACCATCGGGCCGGCGGTCGTCCAGGTGTTCGTTTGACGTCCCGAGGGATCCAGTCGGTAACCGCTCTGGTCCAACGTATTTGATCGTTGGAAGAATATTCGAGGAATTCTCTGCTCCCATTGGATTACAACGTTGCTAAACTTCAGCCTTGGTCGAGCTTGAGCATTGATTTCAATGAATATCATATTTACATCGGCAGGGGCGTTTAAACTGCGCTGACATGGAGAACGGTGAAGCTTCTGGGAACCAGTGCTTTCGTGGCGATTTCCCTCTTCACGAAGTTATTCTGATTCGTGTTCATCAGATGACTGTCGTTTGGACCTTAGACGCACGTATTCTGTTGTGAGGGATTTGCAAAGCCCGACCGCAACCAACTTCCTCAGCCGTGGCACACCTACAGATCCTTGGAGACGCACCCAGGAAAGAGTCCAATGAACGATTCCCTTCAGTAAGTAGGACAGACCAACAGAGGGCAATCACAGATGTGAAAATCCTGTGCATGAAAATGGCCCGATAAGGAGAACTTAAAGGCTTCAACAGCTTCATTTTTCCTTCGTCGCAGCAGGCTAACACCCTAATCTTTCATGTTGCTGTGCCTGCCCTCACTTATTCGCACTCCAAGAGACATTAGCTGCTGCGCCACCTACGTGAGTGAGCAAACCGTTAACTTTGAGCGTTTTCGAACAAGAATGTCCTTTTTCTCAAGTCATCGCTGGCCCATTTGGCACCCGAAATATAATTTAAAAGGAAACATTTTGATCCGGTGCAACGTCCCCTCAAGAATTTCTTATATAATAGTCTTGCTAGTCTTCTAAAAACTGCTTTTTGCTTAAGTTTGAACTTCCATGCAAGCAACTCAGTAAAAACCAGCATGCCTTTTGCAGACACGTGATGGACAACACGATACCCGCGATTCTCGGAAGCTTTAATGTAGAACTACAAGATTATATTGATTTCTGACAACCTCCTGCTGGGGTTGATGAGTCTTACAAGAGAAGTAATCGTTGACAGCCATTGCCATCTTCGAGTCTAACGTTGCCTCCGAATATCACGATGGCCTGGACAGCTTCGAGTAGCTCTCGTCTGAACACACGATCTCTCTTTCGCGATGCGCAAGTCACAAAATTACATCGCAATGGATACACTCTCAAATATTCACAAATTCAAAACCTAACCTATTGGGTTGTCCCATAATTTCTGGCCGATTTTGGTTCAAAGTCAACTTTCTTCATGGCAAATTAATAGCTAACGAAATAAGTTGATTTGTAAAGAACTTATCAGGACCTTCAATCAGGATGTTTCAAAAACTCAAATACGCAAAGGGATAATCAAGTAGGATTCAAAATAGATAAACAAACTAACCCAACGATTATGCCTCACGACCATTTTGAGTAGAATCTTGCAAGGACGCGTAGGCTAAGATCAGCGCTGTGTGATAAAATTTTACCTACTGATAGGGCACTGAAGCTTTGCTCCAATAGCCTTGGCAAGTGACGAGTTGAAGGATAGATCATGATACCACTTTTTGATGAGGACTCCTTGCGCTTATTCGCAGTGCATCCGATAAGATATTACCCAGGAAATGTAGCATAACACTAGATTCAGCCTAACGCTAACAATGAATCGCCAAACCCCGGATGTGAAGAGGGTGTTGCGAAATGGAGGCCTCGATGGGAATTTTTTGACCGAAAGCACGCCTACCGTCTGGGGAAATTTCCATCTGCGACCGCATAAGCAGTGTCATTCCTAGTCGGTCACCAGTGGAGATGAGCACGAGATGTCACGAGCCTACCACGATAACAACACGCGGCACGCCTGGTGGCTGTTTCGCAGAGTGGACGCTCCATCTCAACTAGAACCCCAGATCTCTGCATGAGAGGCATAATTACTCCCAGCTTTCTAGATTTCCGGTGGGTATCCCCCCGTTTTTGTAGAACCACACTTCATGCAAATAAGCTTTGCGAAGGTAACCCCAAATAGTTCCCGAAGTTGGCCGCAGCAGTGCGGGAGAAGGAGAAAACATCTCAAAACCTCCTTCCTCCGAAGGACCGTCCGCGAAATCACGTGGCAAGTCAACTCGCCACGTTTCGAGGGAAACTCTCTGGATCACAATAGCACATCTATCGTATAACTCTGGCATTGCTCCATCGTACATCCCCAGCTCACTGTAGCAGCCTGGAGGAAAAAAGTTGGTAAATTGTATTCACTGACTTTTTTCATCTCCAGGCCGCCGACAACCACCCCAAAACGACCTCTCCGACCTCTTTTCATCTCCCAGCTTCACTCGTTCTGGGAGGAATGCATCCATTCGTTCCCTAGCAAATGGATGCATATCAGTGATTATGATGGTGGTTATATTTTTGATCAATTGTTTTTAGGAAAGATAAAACTTGAAGAAATCAAAGTGTTGAAATTCGGCCAGAAATTATGGGACAACCCAGGATTTTCAAAAATTACAAAAAAGACCTACACAATAAATTCACCAAATCAGTTGGTCAGCCTATATCAGGCATGAAATTCGCGCGGAACAACGCGCCCATATTCTTCCGCCACCTTGTATACTGCAGACATACGTAGCGGTCAAAAGTATTCGCCGAAACGGTTTGTCGTGCACTATTTTCTCTACTTGAAGAATTCGCTTCAAATATTGATACGCTATGTCCTTCGGTATTTTTGAATCCTTGCATGTTAAAGAACTATGCTATCAGAAGAAAAGTCTTCGGCCGATTCTTTTATTCTACTGTGTACAACGAGGTTGATAACTGGAACCTTTATCAATTGTCATGCTTTTTTGAAAAAAAAATGAAATGTATGAAAGAACGAATGCATTGAATAAAGAAGTGGTTCGTTTCGCCTCCAATTCAGACGAACCACTGTATTCCGCCAACCCCCTGAGGCTCTTCAGTGAGTATAGGGTTGACAGAATCATGGACATAGTGGGAGGGGTAAAAAGAAAAAGGGAAAATAGGATGATTAACGACGTTGGTGTGTATAAATGCTAATGAAGCATGAGATATGGGATGTGTGTACTGGATAGGTGTATAGAGAATAGGTAAGCATTGAGGAAAGTACATAATATAACTCGGCGCTACGCAGTTAAATATAGCAATGCGTATTGGAGCATATAATCTATGTGTAATATATCCTAATAATAGAACGTGAGTTAACTAAGTTATGAAAGTAATGGAATGAAAAATAAGTAACCACTGACCACAACTACCAATACTTTTGATTAATTGAGTAATATATTTAAAGCTACTATCTATACCATACTTGTAACTGATAAACTTGTTATTATATATGCACTTAATAATATAGAAGTAATGAAACTGTCGT